TTGCTGTCCTTTTTGTCCTTCAGTCTAGTTGTGGAGGACGTCACTTCACTGGCCCATGTTGGTATTCCCGGGTGAGGCAGATCAGTCACTGACCTCTGGACAGCCTCTTACGACGGCTCTTGGCAGCTCACACCGCTGCCAGCCACACACGGTAGCTTTTGGCAGCCCACTGCAGCAGGGACTGCAGCCAACGCCGTCGCTGGCAACTCATGGCAGCCCAGCTCCAGGTCGAGCTATTGTTCACCATCTTAGCTGTAGAGGGCAGTATCACTGGCCCCCATGTGGGATCCGAACCGGGGCCCTGCTGCTCAGAGCTGGCGTCCCAAGCCAGCTCTTAACCAACGCACCACTCTGCCGGCCCTAAAAACCATATTAATATGATGTAGAAAATCTTCCCCAAACTACCTGTTGATCATTAATTATTGGAAAATTCATGCTGGTGAGCAACCATATGAGTGGAGAAATTTTGGAAGCCTTTTAGCGTAAGCTAATACTAATTTACTTAAAAGAGTACATAAGGGAAAGTAATCCTGTGAATGTCGTGTATGTGGGAAGTTCTTTAGCCTTATGGCTAAATCATACTGATTTTTTAAATTTAAAGAAAATTCAGATTGAACAATGTAATGTAAGTAAAAAAAATTCCCTTTCAGAGTTTATCACTTATTTGGTATCAGAAAATACATAGTGAATAAAACCCTTGGTATTTAAAACAACACTTAAACATTTAACTACCACAAGTTGAGGAAGATGTGGAGAAGTTTTTCACAAGTCATATAGGGCTGTTAACTCAGGTAAAAATTGTAAATAAGACATTAACAAAAAATTTTTGTTACCTACTACCTAGTACGTTCTTCAGTGGAACATGAAAACACTGACGTGAATGAGAGTATGACAAAGCCTATGGGATGTGGCCATATCGATACTCAAAAAAGCTATAAGCTTAAATGCATTTAGAGGCCAGAAAACTATAACACTGTAAATAGTAAGTGTACCAGAACCCTCTTGAGGAGCCAGAAAATGAACATACTTAGCAATAAACAGAATTAAGGGCAAATGCATTAAAATTTAAACAGAGAAGTAGGTTTTATCAACCTTGAAGCCTTTTCTTCAAAAGGCTAATACAAACATTTAGCAAATTTTGTAAAAGTGCTATACAGTATTATTAAAAAGGAGGAGGTTGTAATAACACATTTAAAAATAAGATTGAATGCTTTACACTTTTGATGCCAGTAAATTTCAAATTTTAGATGAACTTCACTTCCTAAAATGGAAAAACTACATTTCCAGAAATGACTAAAGATTCGTAAAGGGCAGACTTTATAAGGAATCCAACTGAGCCTTTAAAAAAAATCTCATATCCGTTAAGAGCAAAGATTTATCAAAGTGTAAGTGTACAGAAAATATCTACGATACAAATTTCCAAGTTCGAAAAGATGCAGATCTTATCAGTTCCTTTTGTGTCTTGCATAATCTCAGTATGCAAACAGAAGCCAAGATTGCAGATGTCCTCAACCTCCCAAATTACAAAAAAAAAAAGGAGTACTTATGCGTGCCAGGCACTTTTCTACATGTTGCAAATTTAAATTTAAAAAATCATAACTTCTAGGTAATTAATATATATATTTAAAATTTTTCTCTTCAAAATGTAAATAATTTTAAACCAGTAATATAATCATTAAAATATTTTTTAATGATAAGATTACTTTTCAGGAATTTAAAAGAACCTACCTGTCCAAGGGTGATTATTCTTCCAGTTTAGGCAGCTTAACTAAAAAATAGGAAAATGTTTAAAAACCACTGATCCTTGCAATGAAGAATGATATGACGACATATGTAGAACTGAAATGTAATACTTAAAAAATAATTATTAACACAAAAAATAAGAAATCAGATCCATCTGACCATACGCATAATGTGGAATTTTATTGTTCCCTTTTTCTTAGAAAACATGGACTAAAATGTCTTTTTAGAAGTAATAACACATAATTTTCTTGTTTCTCCTACTACCAGCTAGTCAGTTCTCTGCTATCCACAGCCAGCCCATTTCTTCCTTTGCTAAGGCTGTCACAGTGCATGTGACATACACATTCATCTCTGACCCTGTTTCATCTACTGGGACCCAGTTACACATTTCACATTTCCAACTTATAGTTCAAGCTATATCTCTATTCTAAATGATTCCTTGATAAATGCATCACAAATCTGTTCTATTTCCTCACTTTTTTCCAACTTAAATGTCACCAAGTTCAAAACAACCTATATTCACGTCCACCATCAAAACAACCTATTTTGACCCTTTGAATTGTAGTTTCTACTTTGCACAAGGCTCATGGAAGCAAGTCTCAATTCTCCCACTCAAATATAAAATCATTGCAAGTTTCTCTACGTTTAAAAAAACTCAGAAAAGAATTTAACATAGCGGCCCTGAGATTGCTCTCCTCAGAAAGGCCTGCTTGCAAGGGTGGCCCCTTCACTGGGGTCTAGGAACTGGGATTTTGGGGAGGGTTCCTGCTATTCCTAGAACTGGTAAGAGTGGCTCACTGTGCCTTAACCTTTTGTACAAACAATGTCACTTATGCTGAAAACCTGCCTTCGAGTGGAGTTTTAGCACATACAAGGCAAGAGGGTACCTGTGAACAGCCTCCAATAAAACTCCTAGGCATGGGGTCTCTGATGTTGTCCAGCAGATTCTATCTCACGTCCATCACAACCTTTGCCTGGAAGAATGAAACATGTCCTGTGGGACTCCACGGGGAGAGCACCCCTGGGAGCTTGCACCTGGTTTCCTCCAGACTGTCCCATGAGCTGACTTGGCTTTATATTCTTTTGCTAAAATAAATCTAAGCTGTTGTGTAGTAAAGAATGGAACCTTTGCCAAAGACAGATCTAGCCATTGCCTTCGGCTCCTGAGAGGTAACCTGTGACCCTTTGGGATGTACTGCCTGTCCTGCCTAATTAGAGTATCTCTCTTTCCATTGGGAGCTTAGACCATACTAGAGAGTCAAACAATGTGATTTATAGTGGGGCTTTGTATGACAGTGCCAGAGGGGCCACCGTGTCTACACAACAGCCCCAATAAGGAATGGACACCTGGGGTCAGGTAGGCTTTCCTGGCTGGCCGTACTCTGCACATTGTCATGCGTTGCCAGGAGGAGTAAGTTCCGTGAGTCCTAGTGAATTATTAAACCTGAGGGTGTTCTTGGGAACTCCTGAATGTGCAATTGGTGTCAGAAATGAGGGTGTCCTCATAGACTGTCTCCTAATTTTGTAGCTAAGAATACAACTATATGCTGAGTCCTGTGACTGCTTGTAATGAATCACATAACACAGAGGTGATCTCGGGGGCCCACAACACCTGGCCAATTTTTAAAAAGGAATAAATGTTTGTTAGTGAATGCATGGTCAATAAGTACATCCATTAAATCAGACAACTATATAGGTCGTTTTACAATAAAAAAAAAACAGCAGCATCAAAGAGGAGTGTTTTGTAAAAATACAGAGCCTTATACAAGAATGCACAAAAAAAGAAAGATGTGCTGGTGAGAGATCGGATCAGGAGTTTAAAGGAACCTAAGCTTAGATACGGAGGAGAGACACACCTGCCATTTCTGAGGCTGCGGGCATTTATAAAAGGTGTAAATGTTGGGTGATCACAGCAGCAGGTTAGTGTCCCCATAGGAGCTCAGACTCAAACAGCCTCAATTCCTCACACACCTGAAACACTTCAAGATGGTGTCTTTCACATCTTAAAGGTGCTAATGCCTTCTAGACCCAGCTGGTCTAGGGTGTGCATGGCTTTTCCCCCTGCTTGGCTCCTTTTACCCACCTATTACCACTTGATATCACCCCATGGCTCTTTCCTGGGCTGCAATAGCAAAATCACACCAGACTTAGAAAGGCCTGTGAAAATAAACAGAGCCACCCACGCTGAGGTGACTTGCATGTTCTGACACAGCTATGTTGTAATTAGGATAGAGGTTACCATAAAAAAACAACAAAATTCAGAAGAATATCTGGCAGATGGGTGTCAAGGAAGGTGCTCATTTCAGTTTTCACATTCCATGGACATTCAGAGCCTCACCAAGGATTCCCAATAGGAAAAGAAGACACACCCAAGAGCCACTGCTGAATTAAGGGCTGGATGCCCTTCCTCAGTGAGGCGGGGGAAAGAAACCTTCCTGTACCCTCAAGGTCCTCTTTGGCCAGTGTAATAATCAAATGATTAACCAGAGAAAATAACCAAATTTAATGCATATGTATGTGTGGGAACCCTGCATACATGAGAGAGTCAGAGATGGAAAGGGACCATGGGTATATAGGACATTCTGTGCTAGGGATGAGGGCTTCAGAAGGTCATTGCAGGAGGGCACACATTCAGTAATTAGTAGATGCCCTGCCATATAGTAGATCACCTCCAATCTGTTAATATGGGCAAGTTTTGTAATTCAAGTTCTAGGTCATTAAGGGAGAGGCAGAAGTTTCTCTTGAGCCTGCAGGGTCTTGGTTGATACCACAGAGGCATATGTTGCGGTGCCTCATTCTGAACCCATACAACATTTATTATAACTTTAGAAAAGTTTGTTTAGCAAATCAAATAGATAGCTTATTTGTTATTTGGAAATGCTCTGTGTACCTCATTTCTGTAAGGAAGATTACTATATATATATATATATATATTTATATATAACTGTGTCATTCATACCTTTTTTACTTTTATTTTTCCATTGTGGATGAAAAGCGGTTCTAGGGAAAGTAACCTCACAGCCAGGACTGTGTTTCTGTAAATTCTGTATTCAAACTCTTTAAACCAACAAGCTGGACTTGTCCACGCTGTTCTTTGGCCTCTCAGCTCCCTTGGCACATGGCGGCTGCTTTACATACATAGCTATTTCATGAAACAATACTGGACTCTATTTTGATTTTTCACAGCAATAGTAGATAAGAGGGAATGGCAAGAGATTTGAGGCTTTTTTATTTTTTCCTTCTCAGCTCTGTAGTCACAGGAGTCTGTTCTTCAAAAGAGGGGCCCTGTGAAGTAGGGAATAACCACTGGACTTCTAGAAAGTACATCCCAGGTGAGTCAAAGCTTCGAGACTGTTACCAGGATGTGTGTGCTATAGTCAAGCTGACTTGTCCTCATGTGTTTTAGGTCGGACCAAACCCAGCTACATACAATGGAGTAGACAGAGGTAGTGGAGATGTCAGGAAATGAGAGGAACAGTCATTTAGTCAAACAGAGACCCTTGTGAATACTGCAGATTTTAAAGTGTGCGAGCTTTATCCCATGTCCAAAGAGAAACATTAAAACAAGTGAGTCTTCTTTTTTTCTTACTAGTTGAACAGTTTCCATTACATATATATACAAATTTATACAAATATGTTTTTTAGTATTTTAGAAAATTATGAAATGCATTCTCAAGAGAAATCTAGAATTCCACAGCCAGTTCTAAGCTTCTGGTGCATCATGTAGTATACATCTTCTCTCCAAAGAGTTGGTTTGCACTGTCTGCACATGTGCGGATGCTTGGCCCAAAGCTCTGGGTCCTATAGTACACACCACAGAGTCTATACAACGCATGCTTTCTCCCAGGCAAGACTTCGCCCTTCCCCCCAGGGCCGCGGGGAAGAGAAAGTGCCACTTCAGCCATCAGTGACATTCTGAGATCTGCCACTGACTTCTTCCTAGAAGAGTGGGGGTTCCTGAACCCTTAGATAGAGCTGTACACAGCTGTGAGGTCAGAGACTTATCAGAACCTGGTCAGGCTGGGTAAGGGCAACAACACCTTGATTCAGCATCTGTTTTCTGGTGTATCTTCCTCTTCCTGCTGGAAATCTCTGGAGGACCTCCTTTATTTTATTTTATGTTTTTTTGTTTTGTTTCATTTGTTTTATAGTATTTTATTTACTTTGTTTTCTTTTGCTTTATCATTTATTTTATTTATTTATTTTATTCATTTTGTTTTGTTTTCCATTTCATTTTTTATTGTTCCATGTCCCATAAAGAACAGAGTTAGAAATGGACCACTTCCTCTTTCCTGTCCTTCAGAAAACCTTTAAACTTCATCTGGCCATTCTTGGAGGGTCTTGGATCCTGATTCCTGCGGTGGGGACCTGAATTCTTGGCTATTGCTGGCATGGCCAATTTGCTGTTTCTTTTCCTTTCTGCAGGCATTTCTGTTCCAGCCCGATGTCCCTTTCTTGTGCTAGCAAGGTGAACAGCCCTGGGCGATGAGTGAGCAGGGAAGATCTCCACAGGCAGGGAGTCGGGAGCCAAGCAGAGGGAAGGCGATTTATGCAGAATGCCAGCTGCTCCTTGGTGCTCCAGCAGCTTTGAGGTACTGGACAGCTCCCTTCAGCACTCCCTAGTGGATTCACTTTTCATCCTCATTGATCACCCTACTCTCCTATCTTTTTAAACTATTACTTCCAGCCTCCAAATGTAAGTGTGCCCTTCCCCCTTGCTTATGGTCAGCTTTTTATGTTTAGTTTCTGTTTTTCATCAGCTTGGCTTCCTTCATAAGGCTGTTTTTTCAAAAATATTCCTCAACACTTCTGTTTTCTTTATCCAAAAAGTATTCATTCTGTCCTCTGATTGATTGAATAAATATATCCATCCAAGTGCTACTCCATTAATAAACATTTTCAGTCTATAATTCTCACCAAGAATGGGGTTTTTCTAAGAGAATATACCCCATAAATGCATTTACTGTTTAGTAAGGGGAATTAAGAGGTGTTCTTAAATACCTTTTGCAAGTAGGAGTCAACTTAGAGAATCTGAATCAGGGTGACTACTGTACAAGCATCGGAGTGGCCAGGGATTGGCACATCAGTGGTGGATGGTGTGAGGGCCTGGCCACTTGTGTGTGCAACTTACCTGTGCCCTCTAGATCTGTTCAAGCCCAATCCTGGATGAACGCCTCACATCTCCTTGAGATGGCTGCTGGGTCCATCCCAGCTGAGAGCTGGTGATTTGGACAGGACCCAGCTCATGTTGGCAGTTTGGGCCACGTAAGCACTTGGTGTCTGTCTTACTCCATTTGGGACACCGTAACAAAAATACCCTAGATGGGGACCGGGTGGCTTAAACAACAGACATTTCTCACAGTTCTGGAGGTTGGGAAGTGCAGAATAAAGGCGCTGGCAGATTCATTTCAGTGAAAAAGGAGAACCCACTTCCTGGTTCATAGACAGCCTCTGTGTGTCCTCGCATGGTAAAGGGGTGAGGGAGCTCTGTGGGGTCTCTCTTTTAAGGACACTAATCCCATTCATGAGGACTCCACCCTCATGACCTAAGCACCTTCCAAAGGCCCCACCTCCAAATACTATCCCATTGGGAGTTAGAATTTCAACATGCAAATTTAGGGGGACACAGACATTCAGTCCATTACAGTGTCCCTCAAGCAGTGAGTCTCTCCTGGTACCAAGTATCATGTCAAGAGCTCTTTTTAAATTGCATACGGTTGTGTCAGGCAGATGACATAAATCTAGGGAGGGGTCTGAGCTACAGCTCTTCTGCTGCGGTCCCATGTGGTATCTTTTCCTACCACAGATACCTCTAGTCCTGTGGTGTTTGCCCAGCAATGGCCCAGGCATCGAGGCTGCTAGTGACAACCTGAAGCTTGTTCTGGGTCTCACTCAAAACTAGTACTTTCCACGTAACCGTGTGAGCGGATCAGAGCACTATTTCCAAGGATGGAAGAGGCTACCTCCTCTCAAGCACTGTGCTTATTTATTGGTTCTAAGAGGTACCATGTGCAAACATGTGTCCTTCACTTACTTTGATGGGGATGGCAGAGGGCCCTGGAAAATAGGACCCCTAAAATCTTCTCTCTGAATCTTCATCAAGTTCATCTCCCACATTCTGCAGCACGTGTGTCTTACCATGTCATCTGGGCTACTGGCCGTCTCTAGTTGTCCAGGTCTCATGAACATGATGTCATCCACAGAGTGGACCAATGTGATATTCTGCAGAATAATCAGATAGTCCAGAGTCTTCTGATTATGCTGTGACAGAAGGCAGAAGAATGAACTTCCATGCTGGGCCAAGACCCTTGTATGAGTCTGCTCGGGCAGCCATAACAAGGTGCCATAGACTGGGTGGCATAAACACAGAAATTTATTTCCTCACAGACCTGGAGTCTGAAAGTCTGAGATCAAGATGTCGGCAGGGTTGGTTTCTTCTGCGGCCTCTCCCTTTGACGAGTAGATGACCATCTCTCTGTGTCCTCACATGGTCCTCCCTGTGTGTGTGTCTGTGTCCTAATCTCTATAAGGACCCCAGACATACTTGATTAGGGCCCACCCCAGTGACCCCATCTTACCTCTTTAAAGGCCCTGTTTCCAAATATTTGCCTATTCATTGTCTGAAACTTTGTATCACTCATTATCCATACCTGTCTTGTGTCATTTTATGAATGTTTTATTCTGAAACAGTTGGATTTGGTGATGATGACTAGTTAGAGAATGTGATATTTTAAAATCTTCTAAACCTATAAAACCAAGATGGGTTCATTTTATCAAATATCTGGTGATATGCTGTAAAGAGGAAAAAATGTTCTTGTCAACATAAGAACATCCAAACCTGTAAAGAATTTTATAAGAGTTTATTTCAGCCAAAAGAATTGCTGGGAAGCAGGATCTCAAATGCTCCTGAAAATGACAGTTTTGTAGCTTTTTCATGCATTTGAGATTAAGGAAGGAATGTAAAGAAGATTACATAAAGGTGGGGAAAAGCATGGCAGGGATCAGATTTCAGGATAGGTAATGGATTGTGCTCTCTTGAAGGTGGTGACGCTTATTTCAAAGGTGTGTTCACCTAGTTGCACAGAAACCATGGACAGGGCTGCTTAAGGCAAAGATAAGCCATTTACTAATAAAATTATAAGCCTGGGATGTGACTACCCACCACGATGACCTGCCCAGTTAAAGATTTATGATCAGATCACCCTGTCAGTTTACGTAGAACCCTTTTTCTGTCCACAATCTTTGCACATGTTTTCATTCTCAATACCCAAAAGGATGAACGGTAATAATATAATAGGTGTGCATTCCCACCTGTATTCATGCTAATATACACACAACACATAGACACATACACCTAGGGAGCATTTTGTTATTTCTTTTCTTTTCTTTTTTTTTTTTTTGAAAACTCATATGAGTTTATTTGAGCCAAACTGTCGACAATTGCCGGGGAGCAAAATCTCAACGGATTGAGAAAATGCTCCCTGTTATTTCTTGTTCTTACAAAATAGATTGCTTTCTACACTAATTTTCTTTTTTTTTAGTAGAAACAGAAACACTTTTTATTATTGAATAAGCACTACTCCAGAATGTGATATGCATCACAAGTAATACATTAAGACATTACAAAACAGAAAAATACTCCCCCTACCCACCCACCAATGTGGCCAAGATTAAACCCATTACATACATGTTTTCAAGATAAACAGTATCTAATCTTCAAGAGGATTTGATGGCACCATTTGTCACACATAGTTCATCCTAAATTCACCTGATAATTGGGGTGACTATCTATTAGCTTATTGGCTTCATCCAGAGGAAAAACAAACTCATGTCTTTATGACAGGAGGGATTTTTGCAAACTATAGTAAGGTGCTCACTGAGGTTAGGCTCCTACCCTTCCACAGGAACTGGGAGATGGGGCGCTATCTCCTTTGATATTTACATTTCAAAGAGATGGCTCCCAAGTTGCTTGAGAAAGATATTCCTGGGTCATAAAGTTACTCTGCCATCTTGACCAGAAATACACTAATTTTTTAAAACTAATTTTTTAAAAGATTTTTTCAATTACAGTTGTCATACAATAATATATTAGTTTCACATGTACAGCATAGTGGTTAGACATTTATAAACCTTATGAAGCAAACCCCCCATAAGTCTAGTACCCACTTGGCACTATACATAGTTATTACAACATTATTGACTATATTCCCTATGCTGTACTTTACATCCCAGTGACTGCTTTGTAACTGGCAATTTGTACTTTCTAACCCCTTCACCTTTTTCAGCCAGCCCCGCCCCCCCAAAAAAATCTGGCAACCATGTTTGTTTTCTGTATCTACGAGTCTGTTTCTGTTTTGTTTGTTCATTTATTTCATTCTTTAGATTCTATGTATAAGTGAAATCATATGGTATTTGTCTTTTTCTGTATGACATATTCACTCAACATAATACCCTCTAGGCCCATCCATGTTGTTGCACATGGTAAGATTTCATTATTTTTTATGGCTGAGTCATAAGGAATTATTGTTTTATATGAATTGTGTTTTCTGGCTGTTAGGGATGGGAAAAGGTCACACCTAAGATCCCAGTATTATTTTTAACAGTAATATGCTTAGTTTTGTATTGCTTTGTACATCCTATCTCTTAAAATGTGAGACAAGTTAATCTGACCTATTTCTCCCCCTCAGAAAAGTGCTGTGATTTTCAAAGTACATAAAATTGCAATAAAATCACTTGCCCTTTCTTATCTGTCCTGTCTGGGTAGTAAGTAGGCCATTGCTCCTCCAGAGTCCTAGTGTTTTGTAAGGTCTGGTCCTTAGCGTATTGTCTGAGGCAAGGCTGATAGCATTTCATGTTATCTGTTCTGCTACCTGACCCTTACTGCACTGGTCTGAGTAGCTGCCTCCATCAGCAGATACCATCAGCTTTCATCTTAGCCGAAACATCGATGACTCAGGCCCCAGCATTTCAAGGGAAACTGAAAAAACCCCATTTGAGCTAGTAGGGCAGAGAGGGAGGGATGAAAATTTCCTGAAAGGGTAGCTGCCATTTGTTCATGTAAAACTGAGGATGCTAGGGTCAGACCGGCTACACTGGAGTATCCTATTTTCATTTGGCCATCAAAGCCATTTGAGTCCCTTGCTTTCTAATTATTCAGTCTAAGTTGACTTGTTTTTAAATGGGGATGTCAGAGGGAGGGAGAATCACCAGGCTTCCAGGTGGAAAATCGCAGCTTCCAGAAGACAGAACTGTTGTACTTGGTGCCTCTGTCCGCAAGATGGCGCTGCTGTACTGCAAAACAGCCTCTGAGCAACCGTTATTCCCACCCTAAGCGTTACTCCCCACCCCCTTTCATCCTGTGATTCCATAGTGTTTTCATTAGATCACCCAGGAGAGTACAGGGATCACCGCTATATGTGGCAGTCTCGGAATGAAACAAGCTCCTCTGATCTTTAGTGGATATTTACAGGACAGACATAGGACATAGCCATTATTGAGTTTAACACAAGCATGGTGCGGGATTAGCTGTCCTTTGGCTGAGAGCTTGAAAAAGTGCAGGAAGTGAAGGGGAGGGAATGGAGTCTGGATGGTGGGGGAAACAATGAGGCTTTTTTTCCCCCCAGCACTCCCACCACCCAGCACGGCCTCCCATTATGGGGCCCCAACAGGAAAAATAAGACGAAAAAATTTTAACCGTTACCCATATGTATATTATTTCAGAACATCATCATTCTTTCCTGAAGTTTTCATCTATTATTTCCCTTCTGCCTAAAGAACTACTTCAGCGTATTTTGGGGGTACAGGTGTGCTCATGAGGAATTCTCGTAGTTGACTTTTACCTGAAAATGTTACTTCATTGTATATAGAATTCTGGGTTGGTGGTTGGTTTTTCCTTTATTTCAGTGCTTTAAAGATGTCTGTCATTCCACTGACCTCCATAATTTCTGATGAGAAGTCAATACACATAATGCTTCCCTTGTAGTTAACGTATCATTTTTCTCTGTCTACTATGAAATTTCCTCTTTATCTTTGATTTTCAGCAGTTTTCTTATAATGTTCTTCAATGTGGTTTTCATTGTATTCTGCTTGGCTTTCCCTGAGCATTTTGAATCTGCAATTTTATGCTTTCACCAAATAGAGAAAACTTTGATCATTATTTCTTCAATTTTTTTCTCCTTTGATCATTCTCTGGTGCTTTCAGGGAACTGTTTTTCACATTTTGTGCACAGTTTCTATTTCTTACCTGCAGGAAAATTGGCCCAAATAGCCCTATGGAAGATGCTAGAGACTCTAGAAGGTAGATGCTGGTGTACAAGAATGTAACTTTGTCCATCCCAAATGCTTGTTGTGGTTCTTCAGTAACAACAGTTTACAGCTCTCTTTAGTTCTTACATCCCCACAAATCTGAGCATCTCTGATCCCAGAAATGAATGATACTTATTCACCAGACATCCACACTGCATCAACAGGACCGGAAGTTGGCTAAGACAGGAAATACAAAAGATGGTTAAGAATTTGCTCAGTATGCAGGATTTTGAGCCCGACAATAGCAGTTTATTTAAATCATTTGTGACAATCAATTTTTATGTTGTAATCATTAAACATTGAGATAAAGAATACTTGATATGAAAAGATGTTCCTGATATTTAATAGAGAAAAACGTTTCAAAACTCATGTACTACATTATCCCATTTTCTAAATTATTTTATGTGTAGAAATCTCAACCTTGGTGTGAAAGAAAAATATGTATTAAGCTAGAAGCTAAAAATGTTAATAGTGTTAGCAGCAGTTTTACGTTCTGGGATTCTGGATGGTTTCCATTATTTCTTTTGACTTCTTTACTCGTTTATTTGACAACAAACATTCTAATATTTTCTACTCTCTATTCTTTGTCCCTGCTTTATATTTCTCCATAGCCATTTTCACCATTCGATATACTATTTATTTTACTCATTCATTTGTGGTCTGTCTCCAGCCACTTGAAAGTAAGTTCTAAGAAAGGCTTTTTTTTTTAAATTTGCTTCAACTTTCAATGCAGGTATTAATTCCACACTTTTCTTAGTCCCCCACACCAGGGACCATTTCCACTCTAGTAAGGGGCAGAACGGGGTTCCATCCTAGGTGCCCTCTCATTCACTGCCTCTGAACACTAATAATAACATTCCCATTATACAGGTAAGAAATTTACTAATTTGCTGTAGTTACAGAATTGATCAAATACAGTCGGGGTTCGGCTCCCAGTTTCTGTTCTTACTGTCAGATAGGCTCAGAGGGCTGGGTGCTCATAATGGCGTGGTCACAGGGACACAGGTCACAAAGCCACACCAGAATCACTCCAAGGGCTGAGCCGCCAAGCTCTCGGCTCTGAGGCTTTTGGATCCAGTAACTAGGGACGCTTCTGGTCTCCAAGGAAGGGGAGGGAGAAGGCAGGGTAGGTCGCATTCTACGCGCCTACGTACACTAGCACCCAGCCCCGCCACACCCCTGCATCCCGGACCACGCCCCTCGAGAATTGTGACGTACAGGTGCACGCACGCACGCTCCGAAGCTATGCTTCCTCCTCCCTTTCGCAACTAAGAACACGCCCCTCTAAACCACGCCCTGCTTCCGCCCTCGCGTCGGGCTCCGCCTACCAGGGGAAATTCGGCGCCTGCGCACTCAAAACTCGGGCATCGATCCCTGGAGTCCTTAGGTTGAGAGTTGCTGGTTTCCGGGCAGAGCCGGTGGTTCGTTTAGGTGGTCGCGAGTCAGAGCCCGAGAGTCTGGCAGGGGAGGTGAGCCGTCCTGATCCGGGCCGGGAGCCCGTCCCTCGGCCGACTACATTTCCCAGAGGCCCGCGCGGCGCGTTTCCCTGGGTCTGCAGGGTGGGTACACTGAGGCCGCGGCTCCCACGGCATTCCAGGCTGTGGGGCTGTTGGAATGTCGTGTGTGGGAGAGACTGGAGAGCGTGAGAGTCCCCGGCGAGACTGAGTGGGAGAGAATGTGGTTTGTGTGATAGGGAGAGACCTGAGTGTGTTGACATGAGTGTGTAATGAGAGACCATTGTGCGTGTGAGACAGGTACGTGTGTGTCCGGCACGTGAGGTTTTGTGAGAGTGTGTGTGTCTGAGGGTGAGAGAGACCAGTATGTGTTTTGTGTACGAGGAAGAGCAATTAGAATGTGAGATACCAGAACGTGTGTATGTGTGTGTGAGACAGTTTGAGCGACATCCGTCTCTCTGAAAGAGACCATTGTGTGAGAGACTGAAGCATGAGACCATCGTGCCTGTGTGTGAGAAAGGGGGCAAGACTAACGACATGGTTTGTGTGTGTGTGACATCAAAGTGTGTAACAGAGACTGTAGGCTTGTCAGTACAGCCTCTGTGAGGTTGTGGGCTGTGCATGAGTGAACGACACCCGGATAAGAGGCAGTGAGTCGCGCGGGTGTGTGTCGCCGGGTGTTTGTATCCATGGCCTCTCTCAGACCATGGTGTATGTGACTGCCTGTGATGTGCCTTCCTTTGGGTTCTTGTGATCATGTCCTCTGTGTGGTCAGGAAATATGTGGGATCTTGTGTTAGTGTTTGTTTGTCACCGTGTATGCTTGTAACTGGCCTTGTGTGGATGGTGTGTATGGGGAGACCACTTGGAAGATTGATAGCTTTGGCACTTTCTGCGTGCTGCTTTTGGAATTGTGAATTGTGAGGATAAGAATCCTAGAGAATTCCCTGCCCTCAGTCTAGGAGTTCCAGTAAGAAGCAAGAGGTGGGGTAACAGGAGACACCCTCAGTTCTGGGTGACAGAAAGGAGTGGGAACCAAAGGACTGAGGACAAAGGTGGTAGAATTGGGTGCAAAAGGATTCATTGTCCCAGGTGAGAGGAAGGCGAAGCCTGTGGAGGTTTGGGTAGAAGGACAATAACTCTGGCCTCTGGTAGAATTTAGGAGTCGGATTTTCGAACAGACTGTGTCAAAGCAGAAATGCAGGAAGGGAGAGAGTCTTCATCAACCTGTAAATTAGAGGAAATCACGATAACCACTTCATAGGATTATTTCAAAAATAAAGTAACGTTATAATCTATGCTGAGTATCTAGAACATCTCTTACTATTTTTATTTGTACTAAGACCAAAGAATGGGAAGGCAACTTTTAGGGAAAAAAAACCATTAAATTTTGGACCTCAAATATAAGAGAGACAGTTATAAATTAGACCCCCTCAACACCCATAGGTTGGTTGCCCATAATCTCCCAGTTATGTGGGCAGTGGGACCAAAGAAAGCTGGGAGGAAGAAGAAGACACGTTTTAGGCTGGTGACTGGGAGTGTAGGGAAGGCCTCATGGCTCGCTATCCTTTCTCTTCTTCCAGCATTGCCCTCCCAGGACTCTGCTATTCTCCAAGAGAGAAGCCAGGAAAAGAAGGTGAGAATGACTGTTGAACTAGTGAAAACCATAGCCCAGGTTAGTTGTAATTTCCTTTCTCCTCCATGAAAGGCAGTCTAACTGTTTAGGACTTAGTAATGCTTCTTTTTTTTGGAAAATTCCCTGACGAACAGTCTTGTCCAAGGGCCTGGTGACCACTTCTCCCAGAGGGCCCTGTGTTTGAACTGCGTAATGGATAAGTAAAACTGAGTGTGATGAAACATAGAGCCCTTATGAGCCCCCTGTTCTTTCCACCTTGTACATTTTAATTCAGTGTTGACACTTGGGAAAAGTTTCTATTATACAGAGTGGAGGTACCTCAGTGCGATTGAGCTGGGTTCCAAGTTAAGTGTGCATCAGATAGCCCTCTCCTATTCGTAGAATGCATCAGAACCATACTTCCAGATGGATTTATTTCCTTAAATTCTTAAACATTTTTGTTTATGTTCTGTGTATTAATTCCCAGTCTCATTTGTTTACCCAAAATATCCTACTTAATTATTGCAAATTTGAAATAAGTGATATATGCACATAGTACAAAATTCAAAAGTCTTAAGTCCTCCCTCTTTCTTCCCAGTTCTTCTCTTAACAGATAGTAAATATTCTCAGCTGCTCATTCTGGGCTATTCTCTGTATACGTAGATACTCTCATTCCTTCTTAATTGGTGTTTTTTGTGTCCCTTTTAAGAAATCTTTGTCTACCCCTAGGGTATGTAGATATTCTATTTTTCACCTAACAGTTAGGTTTCTGATAAATTGAGAGTTGACTTTTGTGATTTTTTTGTTTGAGGGTGAGGCTGAAATTACATAAAATTTTTACATTAATTTTAATTTACATTATATTATTACATTAAATGTTTAACCTATCATGATAAGGCAGAGGCTTCTTTTCCAGTTGCCTGTCCAGTTGACTCAGTAGTATTTACTGAATAATCCCACCTCTTTCTCACTGGTTTGGACTGGCTGTATCTTACACTGAATTTCTGCATTTGCGTATATTTGATTTTGTTGCTGGGCTACTTTCATTTTACTTGTTTTTAACCTTGTAATATAAATATATATCATTTGCAGGAAACTTGAGTGTAAAAGGAGCCCTGAATTTTCCCAATGAGAAGTTTTGGGAAGTTTCAGGTATTTTGTAGAACATTTCCATACTTTCTTTAAAATGAGGATCATCAGTGCCCACTTATTTGTTTTAATTACACACTTTATATTAAAAGTCACATATTAATTTTAAAACACTGCTTTTTTTTCCTGTCTGTCGGAGTTAATTAGTTATCAAAAAGATTTATGTGCATTTTGGACATCTGTCTTTCTCAGCATGAGAGCCACTTTATGAATCATCTAACGTCATTTTCCAGAAATACAGAACTTTGAGAGTTTGCATGTATGATGTTGTTATTGACATTGTATTCGAAGTTACAAGCACCAATTAGCATACCATTAGGATTTTTTCCCCTCATTTGTCCTATAGGAATAAGTTACAGATCTCCATAATGTTACCACTTAACTGTCTCAGCTGTTATTTACCTTCATACTCCTGAATAATATGTTTGGAACACTAGTTCTTGATTTAGTTTTTGGTATTATCTATGCACCTACTAATATGGATAATAAAGATGTAGTCCATTACCAACCCCAAACACACATACACACTCTTTTATCAGCCTTCAAATGTTATTTTATTACTCTTTTGTTTTAAGTCAGTGTTCAGGATAGGTTGGTGTTTTTCATCAGTTTGGGGGATTTTTCAGTCACTGTCTTTTTAAATATTAGCTCTGATCCTTTCCTCTCCTTCAAAATTACAATTATATAAATGCTAGATCTTTTTCCACTCTGTTTTATATGTTACTTATGTTTCAGTTTTCTGCAACTCTAATCTCCTGTTAAATCCATCATTGAATTCTAAACTTCCATGATTGCATTTTTAGTTCTAGAATGTCTATTTAATTATTTTATACAATTTCCATTTTCTGCCTAAAGTCACCATCTTTCCTTTTAATTTCTTAAAAATATTCATTGTAATTATTTTGACATGTTGTCAGATAATTCCGTTATCTGGATCTCCTGTGAGTTTCTTTTTATTTTCTCATTATTTTTCCTCTTCATTTTGTCTTATGTGCCTCATTACTTTGGGTTAAGTGCTGGACTTTGTATGTTAAAAAAAAAATCTTAGGTAATATGAAGCTGTGATGTCTTCCTTTTGATAGGGTTTATGTTTTAAAAATAAATTTTTAAAAATTGATTTTGGTTAACAGTTTTATATTGACAGAAAATTTGCAAAGGTAATACAGAGAGCACCCATATACACCACACAAAGCTTTCCGTTATTAAGATCTTACATTAGTATGGGGCATTTGTTACAATTAATGAACCAACGTTGATTCATTATTATTAACTGCTCAGATTTCCTTCATTTTTACTTAATGTCGTTTTCCTGTTCCAGAGTCCTATCCAGAATATCATGTCACATTTAGTAGTTCTAGCTCTCAGGGCTCCTCTTGGCTGTGACAGCATCTCATACTTTCCTCCTTTTTGGTGATCATATCAGTAGGTATTCATTAGACTGGAGTAATGTGTTTTTGGAAGGATGATCACAGAGGTAAAGTTGCCTTTTTATCACATCCTATCAAAGGTATTAGTCTATACCATCAACATGACTTAATACTGATGGGGAGGTAGTGTTTGTCAGGTTTCTCCACTGACTTTATTTTTTTTCACCTTTCCATACTGTACCCTTTGGAAGAAAGCCACACCTAAGGAGTAGAAAGCTATGTTCTACCTTGAGAGTGGAGTTTCTAACTAACACATTTGAAATTCTTCTGTATAAGAGATTTATCTCTTTTCCCCCGTTCATTTATTCAGTTATTTATATGTATCAGTATGGACTCATGCACATTTATTTATACCTTAGGTTATAATCCAGTGCTACTCAGCCATTTCTCTACAGTGGAGAGGGTTAACTTTTGCTTCAGGCAGACAGCTATGCTAAGAACAAGTCTTAATGCAATCAGGAGCTGAAGTGATTAGAGGCTGGGCCTCCCTCCTGGTGAAAGCTGGCTTATTTCCGGTTCATTGTTAACCCAGGGGTGTAGTCCTTCCTTTGGGTTCACAACCAAAAGCCTGGTATGTTTACCAGGACCTGTCTTTGTCAGATTATAGTTATTTGTAAACACTCTAGATTAGCATTTATTGCTGCTGTTCTTCCTCAAGTCAGCTGTGAGAGTTACATCTACTTGTGCTATGAACCCTGCTTTCTCCCAGCATGGGAGACCTTGGAAATAATCCATGGTATAAAACACATTTGGAGAAATCTCTGCCTCGTGTTTGGGCACTAATGATATTTTATAATGTGGAAGGACCAACACCTAATACTTTCACATTACTCATCTTTCCAGGATTCTCCTGACTGTTCTTATAAGTTTCTTTTTCCAGCAAACTTTAGAATCAGGCAGTTTTTAAAAGACTCACTGATTATTTTAAATTGGGATTTATGTATTCAGCAAATACTTTTTGAGGGCCTGGTGTTCTTCTAGAGTCTGAGGCTGCAGCGAAGAACAAAGGAAAGGGCCTGCCCTTGTGGAGCTTACTTTCTAGAAGGGGGAAATACAATAGACATAAAGAAATGAATTGGTTTACATCAAATGGTGAAAAGTGAAGTGGAAAGAGAAAAAACAGGGTAAGTGGGAGAGGGAGTACTGGGTAAGGGGAGGTCTGGATTTTATTGTTTATAGGCTGATCATAGAAGGCCTCTCTGACATTTGAGAAGAGATCTAAAGAAAATAAGATAGTGAGTACATGGATATCGGGAGGAAGCTTGTTGTAAAAGCGGAAACAGAATGTGCAGCGTCACTCATGAATGTCTCTTCTGTGTTCAGGAAGAGCAAGGACAGAACCAGTAGGAGAGATAGTAGATGACATCAGAGAAGTCATAAGTGCCCCATCTTTTGAATCTCGAGGCTATTATAAGGATGTGGGCTTCTCTGTGTTTGTTGGGGAGACGGGGGATTTCAAGCAGAGATGAAACATGAGTATTCCTCTGGCTGCTGGGTTGAAAATAGACTGTTCAGGAAGCAAGGACAGAAGTAGGAAGACATGTTGTAATAATCCACATAAGAGGTAATGATGGGTCAGGATGGAATCCGTTAAATTTATGGATTAATGTAAGAATTGAAAGCTTGAATCTTCTTATATTAGAATAAAAAATGAGTATGTATTTACATTTATTCAAGCCTATGTGTTTCTCAATAGTGTGTTTTCCACCTGTTCTTGTCTTGTTTTATTGCCTTTAAGAAAATTCTACAGTTGTCTTCTCATAGATTTGGTACTTTTTCTGTTAAATATATCTATAAGTGTTTTAAAGAGATACATCATATTCAAAATGGAATATTTTCCCATTTTCCTCTCTAGTGCATGTTGTTAGAAAAGGAAAAAATATATATTAATGTGTCTCTTACACTCAGGTACCTTTCTAAAAATTTCCTTTTAAAAGTTAAAGTTTTTATTTTATTTTTTTTAAAGATTTTTTATTGGGGAATTGGGGGAGGGGAATAGCATTGGGGAATTGGGGAAGGGGAACAGACAAGTTGCTGTCCTTTTGTTCTTCAGTCTAGCTGTGGAGGACGTCGCTTCACTGGCCCATGTTGGTATTATCATTGCACTCTTCCTGGGTGAGGCAACTCGTCGCCGGCCATTGGACAGCCGCTCACGGCAGCCCACTGCAGCCCCACTGCAGCCTACGCTGTCATCAGTGACTCACGACAGCCCAGATCCAGGTCGAGCTGTTGTTCACCATCTTAGCTGTAGAGGGCGCAGTGTCACTGGCCCACATGTGGGATCCAAACCCGGGGCTCTGCTGCTCAGAGCCAGCTCTCCCAAACCAACTCTTACACGGCCAACGCAACACACGCAACACACGGCCAGCCCAAAATTTAAAGTTTTTAAATTTAAATATTCCCTTTAAAAATTTCTTTTGAGTGAAGTTTTTGTTTGCTTGATTGGTTTATATTTTGTTTTTAACTAGTTTCCTTGGGTAGGCAGCGCTTGTTGGACAGTGTTAGCGTATAACAATCACTTAGACTTCGATGTGAATACTCTTTGTGGAATTGTGGGACTCAATGGTCCTATTTTAGCTCTATGTTCATATCATTGCAGGAAAGAGATCGTTAACTAATATTTTACTAATATTTAATGGATTATGTATTATTATTACTATAGAGTGTAGACAGTCTAAAACAATATTGAATACACTTGGCAGTAATGCCTCCTATTCATTACTTTCTAGATAATTTATAATACTAGGTTTCTTTTTTAAAAACAACTTTATTGGGGCCGGCCGAGTGGCTCATTGTTTAAGAGTTGGCTTGGGAGCATGAGCTCTATGCAGCAGGGCCGGCAGTTTGGATCCCACATGGGCCAGTGACACTGTGCCCTCTACAGCTAAGATGGTGAACAACAGCTTGACCTGGAGCTGGGCTGCTGTGAGTCGCCGGAGACGAAGGCGTAGGCTGCAGTGGAGCTGCAGGGAGCTGCCATGAGCTGCCGTCCAATGGCCGGCGACTGACTGCCTCACCCGGGAAGAGCACAATGATCACAATACCAACATGGGACATTGAAGCGACATCCTTCACAACTAGACTGAAGAACAAAAGGACAGCAACTTGTCTGTTCTCCTTCCCCTGTTCCCCAACACTGTTCCCCTCCTCCAATTCCCCAATGAAAAAAAAATATATATTAAAAAAAAAACTTTATTGAGGTATCATTTACATACCATAAAGTTTAATATTTGAAGTGTACAATTCCATGATTTCTAGTAAATTTACTGGGTTGTGTAACCATCATTGTAATGCAATTTTAGATCATTTGCATCACCTCAGTAAGATCCCTCGTGCCCATTTATGGTTAATTTCTGTTCTCAGCTCCACAACTAGGCCACCAGTAACTACTTTCTGTCTTAGATTTGACTTTTCTGGATAGTTTATAGAAATAGAATCATACAATATGTAGTCCTTGGCATCTGGCTTTTTTCACTTAGTTTTATATTTTTGAGTTTCATCCATGTTGCAACATGTATTAACATTTCATTCACTTTTATTGCTAATTGTATTTCATTGAAAGGTATACCAAATTTTGTTTATCTCTTCATCAGTTGATGGACATTTGGGTTGATTGCACTTTTTGGCAATCATGAATAATGCCACTCTCAACATTTAATGTAAATCTTCATTTGGACATGTTTTCATTTCTCATGGGTCAATTAACCTAAGAGTAGAATTGCTGGGTCATATGCTAAATTCACATTTAACTTTTTTAAGAAACTGCTGACTGTTTTTCAAAGTGGCTGTGCCATTTTATAGTCTCAGCAGCAGTGTGTGAGGGTTGGATGTGTTGTAGTCTAATGCTGGGCGATTCCTCATATTGCTTTCCAGCTTACTCTGATATGGCATGGCATGCTAGTTCTTAATGGACTTGCATAAGAAATTGCATTCTAAATATATTCATTATTTGTGTTGTGTAAGAAAAAAAGCTACCTACATCAGTTCAGGGCTTGTCCCACCTGAACACTAAATCCCATAGTATACCATTTGCAAAAATATCAATTTAGATATTTTTTCATTGTTGTTTTTTGAGGGTTCAACCGTAGGTGTAGGTCCTGCCTTGAAGCCCTGGTTTACTGCCCTGTGGCCACCTGTCCATATTTTCCCCATGATGAGAAATGGATTAGTATAACTGTATACAATGCAATTTAACACTTCAGTAAGTACCATGTTAGGTTGGAGCTTGTGTTTAAGGTTTTTCTTCTCCAAGGGCTATTTCTAACATAATGTAGGGACAACTTAACACTTCAGCTTGAACTTGTGTGGACATGAACATTGGTTAATCAACAGTGTATTTGTGGCATTTCAGGACTTGGTGACATTCAAGGATGTGGCAATAGACTTTTCCCAGGAGGAATGGGACTGGCTGAACCCTGCTCAGAGGAGTCTATACAGGAGTATGATGCTGGAGAACTATCAGAGTCTGGTATTGCTCGGTGAGGATCTTTTCTCCTCCATAAACTCAGAATCTACCCTTAGGTTCTGAGATCAGACAAGATCGGACATGTTCAGGGTGGTATGGCCGTAGACACTGGGACTTGGCGCCTACCCTTAGGGACTCTTTACTTTTTTAAAGATTTTTTTATTGGGGAATTGGGGGACGGAAACAGTGCTGGGGAGTTGGGGGAAGGAGAACAGACAAGTTGCTGTCCTTTTGTTCTTCAGTCTAGTTGTGGAAGACGTCTGACCCATGTTGGTATTATCATTGTGCTCTTCCCGGATGAGGCATATCGGTCGCCAGCCTCTGGACGGCCGCTCACGGCAGCTCTTGGCAGCTCACACCGGCTGCCGGCTGCTCACGCTGGCTGCCGGCCACACACATGGTCGTTTATGGCAGCCCACTGCAGCAGGGGCTGCAGCCAACGCCGTGGCTGGCGACTCATGGCAGCACAGCTCCAGGTCAAGCTGTTGTTCACCATCTTAGCTGTAGAGGGCAGTGTCACTGGCCTTTATGTGGGATCTGAACCCAGACCCTACTGCTCAGAGCTAGCATCCCAAGCCAGCTCTTAACCAACGCGCCACTCAGCCGGCCCCTCTTTATTTTTTTATTTATTATGAAAACTTTTTTTTATTTTTTATTGTGTAGGTCAGAATAGTATCAGGAAACAAAGAGGATATTCAGGGATTGTTGGAAATTTCAGATTTAGTCAGTGAATTTGACATCTATCAAATATTCCATGGATGTGCTTTTTAGGCAGTTGGGGAACACAGGCCATGATGTGACTCTTACTGGTCCCTTGTGCTCCCTTGTTCCATACAGTATTGTTATCACCAATAGGCAGTAAGAATGTTCACCAAAAATATAGCTGGATTACTGTAAATTCAGAATATCACTTTCAAAATTTGTGTCTTTTTATTAACATGCAATAAGTGAACCATTGAAGCACAAACGATGAAAATGGCTTCAAATGTTTTTAGGGAAGCTAACGTGAACCCTTCTTCTCTGCCGTAGGACCATCTTATTGAGTAGACTAGCTTTCTGTTCTCCAGAGGGTCCTTTTATCCTGCTTGTGGTTCACTGAGCTTCTGAAACTAAATTTATGTCTTTCACTAAATTTGAGAACTTTTTGGCCCTTATTTTTTCAAATATTTTTTGTGTTCTCTCTTTTCTCCTTCTGGGACTTCAATTACAAATATGTTAAAACGTTTGCTACTGTACCCACTGTAACTAAGGATCTGTTTACTTTTTAAAATATTTTTTCTCTGTTTTTTCAGATTAAATAATTTCTATTGATTTATCTTCAACTTCACTATTTCTTTGTCTTTTTCAATGTCCTGTTAGCCCGTTTAGTAAATTTTCAAATTCCAGATACTGTAGATTTCAACTCTATATGTTCCACTTTGCCCTTTCATAATTTCTATTTGTCTGATAAGAAATTACAAATACATATTTTTTACATTTTTCAGTATAGATGCAATAGCTGTTTTAAAGTCCTGGTTTACTAATTCCAACATCTGTTTTATCACAGGTTGGGTGTCCATCAATTGCCTTTTCTTCTGAGTATGATTCACTTTCTCCTCTTTCTTCTTATAGCTACTAATTTGGATTTTATCCTAGATACTATAAATAATACATTGTAGAGATTCTGGAGTCTGTTACATTCATCTGGACAGTATTGACTTTTTTTTT